CAAAACTAAATGGATGCATAAGTGTCACTTGAGTTTTAAGTAAAAAGTAATCTTCAAATGAACATGCTTATTGTTTGAGAGGGGGAAGGTCATTTATAACTTTCAGTATGTCCTTGAACGAAAGACGCAGCAAAGTGTTTGTTGCTTTAATTATAGCCTCTGGTCAGAAGTTCATTTCAAGAGAAGAAAAGAGAATTTGCTGAAGTTGCCCCAGCATGGCCCGGATGAGCTACTGATGAGATACTAAGTCAGCCCTTTGAGCCCAGGTTCTTCACTTTTTGAACCAACATAACTCTCAGCTGCTTGTTCTTACCTCCTCAGAGAAACCATGTTTGATGGAAACTCTGTATATTTTACAACACCAAACTGAAAGTACAAGTCTTAGCTTAATGCGGAGTGGTGATATCCTTAAATTCGCTTGGAGACTGCCCCAAATTTAAAAGGTGGCAGTTGACCTTAGCAATGCTTCATTAATTTTCAGACCCATTTGAATTTTCTCCTCAGCTCCCTTCACTAGCAATTTGTTTTCCTTTAGGCCTCCTGTACCAAAAAATAAATAAGTAAATAAATTATAAATCCGTAAAACAACAGTTTAGGGTAGAGAAACAAAAGAGAAGCTTTTGTTTATTTACTGACAACCTGAATTCAGATGTCTGATGACAAAAGGCTTTAATCTGTCCTTCATCTCATTCTCCCCTTTGGCTGGATTATGGAAACGTTCAAAGGCTACTGATCCTAACCCTCTATCGCCACCCCCAATCCCCGCCCCCCCACTGGGAGTTCACAGTTTAATCCCTAAATCCAGGTGAGAAATACCCCATTTACCAAGGCAACTGTGAATTAAAGTCTATGGTATCAAAAGCACATCCAGAAAATTTACTAAAAAAATGCTTTAAAGTGGACTTCCAACACTTGAGAAGTAAGAAACTGCTTTTAGAATTGTGTTTTTCCACTGTCCTCATCAGTTCCCTAGGGAAATTCCAAGGGGAAGAGACCGGGATAAAGAGCTTTCTGTATTTCTCTTGGTTTTAACTGCTAAAACAATTTTTGTTCCATTAGGTTTGTAATGTGAGATCTCTCAGAGTGAATTTACACAACAGCCTCTGACTTTATTAATTCGTCACAACTTAGTCTTCACATGTCTAAAAACAAATGGCTGACTTCTCACAAATTCCGTCATGTACTTACACACTGCCTTGAAAATTGTTAAATGTAAAATTATTCCAGGATTACAAAGACTATCGGGCTAGCATGGCATGCGTGTAGCACGCAACAAATAATTACCAACTCATCTTTCCAGGGTTCTGCTCAGGCTTAGTCCAACATCAATCTAACCTACAAGATTCAGATGGCTAAACAAAATATGAAATAGTCCCTAAGAGGCCATCTGTTCACTTGCCACCAAATAAAATGAATCCCTTAAAAGTCTTGAGGAATGACAAATGCCTTGAGATATTATTTCACTGCTTATCCAAAGTTATCTTCCAAGATGGCTCAGCAATGCTTTTCCAGCTACCCCTCTTCATATTCACAGAGCGAGGCAAGTTTGCAGAAATATGGCTGATAGGCCTCCCTTAGTAAAAATACTTCGAAACTCCCCAAAGCAGGTCCACTGGAAAATTGCTGCCTTGCTGCAAGAACTAAACCCTTATCTGGTTAAACCCAGGCTTGCTACCTTCCCAGTTCCATCTCTAAATTGATGGAATGGCAGACAAGTGAACTACATCACCACGCTGCAGAACGGTGCAGTGTTAGCGAATTAGCAATAATGTGTTTGTCTAAAACTATGTGCAAATAAAGAGTTGTAGAAATTTGAAACATCATTTAATTTCATTATTTCATTGGTTCTCAAATTCTCAGATCAACAATATGCCCTTTAAATCAGCAGAATAAGGGCAACATTGACAGAATGAACTGGGTGGAGGAAAAGAGGAGTGAGTTGGTGTCTGGAGCAGTTATGTTTTTCTGTTACAACTGTGATCCACAGAGTCAATTAACTTCTTCCAATGGATTTTTCACTAACTGCCCCCCACCACCACCACCCCAAATTCACAAAGTCCCCAAACCAGTTGTGGAACTATTTATATTTTGTTTGGAGCACCTATGGGGCAAATTATAATTGATGGTAGCACTTGTTCAGAATGCATCAATCAGATACAAACTGTTCAAGCAATTCTGAAACATTATCTGTCATTTAACTTGACTCTTGGTTTTCTCAATGGATTAACCATCTGGAGCAGCTGAAACTCTTGAGATAACTTCCTTCTGCCACATACCAAAAACAAAAACAAAGTAAGTACATAAAATTAAAATGTTCTTATCAGTAGCCATCTAGATTATTCCAAAAAGACATAATTACAAACCAACATAATCGGTAAATACAAGAGGTTAAATATTGGGTTGTCGGAAAAGTCATGACGCATTTTTGCAACAAAAAACATAGGAAAAATACGTCATGACTTTTCCAAACACCCAATAAAAGCAGTAAATTGAAAGCAAATATTACAAATACTAAATCCAGTCTGCAGGGCCTGCAAATCTCAAATGTACAAAGATCTGAAATATGAAAAAGTCAAGTAAAAATATCCATTGTATAAATAATAGGCACAAGTTCTCCAATTTTTGAGGGATGTTGAGTTACTTTAGTTAACCCGAGACACTTGTGTACGATAGGAATGGCTACTGTATATCTAATGGCTACAATAATCTAAAGTATTATCACTGCCCCCATTTCATAGGTAACAAAACTGAGTCTTCAAAGAGCTTGTCATTTGCCCATGTTCACACAGCTAGTGGGGACAAAAGCAGCATTTGAACCCAGGCTGTGAGGCTCCAAAGTGAGCTTGACCGCTGCTCTGTATGAGCTCAGCCTCATCACACCATGTAACTTTTGAGGTTTCAAGTTATTTGGGCTGAGACAGAGAAGAGGACCAATTAGGTTATAAGGGAAAAAAGCTGTCCTGGCCCCAAAAAGGCTAGTCCCAGACTCATGATACTAGATGCCACTGCTTTCAAGCTTTTAGCCTATAATCAACCCATATTGAAACCAGATTTACGAGCTCTTCAGAGGAGAGCTTTGTGATTTTCTAAGCAGACATGTTTGGTATTTTAGAAGGTCAAACCCCCTATGGTGCAATGTTTTTAATAAAATCAGTTCAGCAGAAATTAGAGACACACCAGTCAATTTCTAGGAAGCCTCTGAGCCATTCAAAATAAGGGGGGGGGGGAATGCCATAAAAGACATAACCATGTACAGATCAATTTTTTTGAAAGAAGTACAATGTAAGGGGTGTAGATACAGAAACATGGCAAATTTGGTCCCATTTGTCTCTGGTTTGGGCAAATTTCCACTTAGAAAGGAAAATTACTTTTTTTGGGGGGGGAGAATTTTATGTCAATATTAAACAAGGGCTGTTCCTGGTTAGCCCAGCCTTGTGCTGACACCTCAAAGTCACAGTAAACATCTCTATGAGGGAAAAACAAATAAACCAGTCATTACCATTCTTACATCACTGAGTCAGGTAGGTAGGTAGCTATTTCATGAAGGGTCCTTTATCTCCCTCTGGGCAACTTCTACACTCTCATAGGAAAGCAAAAGAAGCTATATTTAGTTCTTAGTAAAAATCCAAGTTGAGAAACCTGCAGTCTTTTCATTGAAAGGCCAAGTTATGCGTAGACTGGTGGCAAGGATGTGTGCAAATAGTAAATCAGAGGACATTAAGAGGATTTGTTATGAGCTAAAGGGACAGGGCCAGTCTATTTAAGTGGCTAGAACTTGAGCCCCAGAACACCCAGTCTGACAAGAGAACATGGGCACAGTGCCACCACCCCACCGACAGGGAGGTGTAAACAGCCTCATGAATTTACAGGAGAACGAACAAGACGCAGGTCAGCAAGCACAGGACCAAGCGGGGACACGCTACCTTCATCTCCCATTACATTTCTGTGATTTTAGCTCTCACCTGGACCCAGGCCTATCCTGCAACACGGGGTTTACTGATTTCAAAGTGTTTCAGAGCCCATGAATTTAAATCTTTCATTGCTTTATTTCTTAATGAATTGCTGAGTTCTTAGTTAACTGGGACTTGGGAAGAAACGAGGTGAATAAGACTGATAGGGCAAGCAGAAGAAAATTAACTATACAAAACTGATATAGAGGCTACTTAAAGAATGACTGCACTTGCATGATGCTGTACATGAAATGAAAAGGCATAAGGAGCAAGAAGTCTTTCAGTTCTAAGTGGCAAAACTACTGTGATTTGATTGAAAGCTAGAAAACAGAGGTGAAGATGGAAATTTCACCAAGGGCAATTTTGATCAAGCCTAACAGTCCTTTGGCTCCCTCAAAAATTGACACACAGAAAACTTTAACACCTTTTGTAAATTTTAAGTCATGCATGCACAAACTGTCAAATCTCAAGAAGCACAAAACAAATTATGTCATTTATTAAAATGCATATTTATTCCATAGCCTAATTTGTTTGGAGCTGTGGTCTATTGATTATTAAATAATCTAGGTATTCATTTTTAGACTAGTCCTTTCAACTCTGATTCATCCATGAATTTGGCTACTGCATCTGTCTTAAATGACCCAAATTATGCTTATCATAAAATATTCCAGAAAACCGCTTTTTAAAAAATCCTTTAACACTCATAAAAGAAAACCCCATATTCAAATATGTAGGCAAGAGGTCATTTTTTAAGCAAAAGTTTCAAATATACAAAAGAATTGAGAAAAACAACCCTACATGACAAATCATTGTCACATTTAAGATAATAAAGGCCCATTTCGGGGGAAAAGTACACAACTATGGCATGGGCTTAAATTCAGGCTGGGCAGTGTTGCCAGACAGAAAGTCCTACAGGAATGAAAACACCCGTTAGTGTATCAAGTTAGTGGCTAAAGTCAATGTTCTATTTGGTTATGTTAATTTGGGGAAGAAAAAGTAGTAGCACTGTGTGTTATTTAAATCTCAATTGATATATAATGTTCACTATTGAAAACCTTTCTAAAAATTGAGAAGAATAAAATAAAATATTAGTATAATACTGTGTTGAAGGAAGTTTTGAAAACTGGGAGCACAGTACAATAAAGTATGGCTAACATGGGGTCCAAAATATTTAATTTGGTTTGAGACAGAGTCAACAGTAGAAGTAGACAGACAGTGACTAACTTTAACTACCAAAAAAAACCAAAAAAAAAAAAAAACTTTCGTTTATGTTTTTTCTTCCTGGCTTGGAGGTAGACATTTAAAAAGTATTCCAGAGCAACTGGATCAAGTTGATAAATAACAGTACCTTTGCTAAGGCAACTTCAGAAACTGATCAATCATATCTGACCTGGTATAAATACATTTAAGATTTCTCTTGGATGAAAGCTAAAAACCGGAATGATCCAAACAAAAACTGTGGATAAGACACTGAACGATGGGAATTACAGTTAAGATAGTCTACACACTGTAAGAAAATTACACATGCGCATGTAAGAATAAACAAGAGCTTGATCTTGTGTTTTTGTTTTTTAAAGAAAAATCAAGCCAAATCCTAGTAAGACCCTATCGGGAGTAACAGATCTTCATTTGTATAATCAACATGTAGTTTTTTACACTTCCCACTTAGTTTTTAATTTATGACAAGACACTACTAAATTTCAGACAAAAAATATATATATATTTGTTAAAATCTTTACAATAAATCCAGATGTAGGAGCTGACACAGAGCACATTTGGGTTTATTTAGGTGCTCATCCCAGCTCCCTCAGATGCACATCACCCTGGTAACAGTGTGTATGTACATAGTCTTCTTCTCTTTGCTTTTTCATAATTTCAAAGCAAATAATACATTTGACTGTACGTTAAGTCTGTGCAAATAATCCTTCAGAAGAAACATCCAAGATTCTGTTTGCAGAGGTCATTTTGTCTCTCAAAGATGATTACATGAGTTTGTTTTTCTTCAGATAAAGTGCTCCTGTCCAGCAGAACTGAAAGGCCTTCAAGCGTCCAAGAAGCTCAGTTCAGATAAGACGCAGTCATACGAACTCCAGCTTCCCGTGCCCACTGTACATGCCCCAATGAACGAGCGAGAGGATCTTGTCGTTGCTGAGGTCTGCTTGTCTCATTTTATCACAGGTCAGACAGCAGTTCTCGTGCCCACTCACTGGTACCATGCATTCCAAATCCAATTTTGCAACCTGCCCCTTTTTGGAATGGTGTCCATGGAAGCTGTAGTGCAAACGGGACAGCATCTGTTGCCGCTGGTCCTGCAGTCTCTTGTTTTCACTTCGAAGCATCCTCAAGGCCAACATAATAAGCAACACTAAAATCAGCCCTCCAGCGATGGGAACAGCAATCACAGCGGCCCGGAACCACAACTCTTTGGAAGAAGTCAGCTCCTGCACCTTGGTGATGAGATTTCTGCTACCGTCATGCTGATACCGGTTTCCTTGTCCTAAAGAGGCAGGAGCATAATGATCAAACTCTAACCCCTCCTGTAGCGATTCATGATCATCTATCCGTTTTAAACAAGGCCACCCTTTAAAAAGCTTACAATTAAGTCAACAATATTTAGAAAATAAATGGTACAATAATGATGCAAAAAAGCTTACAAAAACATTTGTTTACAGATTGTCATTACTGAGGAATAATGGTCTTTTAATGTCTTCAAAATGTTGAAAAAACAGGCAAAACCTATTATGTGGACAGATATATAATGCTCAGGCAGACATAAAAGCTCCTCAGTAGAGATGCATCTTTGCATCCAGCCATGCTTCTCCCTCTGGTGTCTCTAATTACATTAACAACAAAATCAATAGCAGACATTCGAAGTCGGAGCTGTCCCAAGCCTATAGATCGGTCAGGCGAGCATTTTGGTTAGAAAGGGTTTCTACCTACCTGAGACCTCCCCCTTGGGAGGAGAAAGAACGTCATGCAGCCCTCTGTAATTGCACATATCTTCATGACAGCATTCCAATGTGGGCATGGCGGTGCCAGAGTGGTTTTGTGCCTGTTTGGCTTGGCAGATGTCTGCTGTGCTTGCAAGAGAGTCCAGGCAGCCATGGGTGAGTGGGGAATTTGTGTTCTGAGGATCAAGAAGTCTAGAGAAGCAGGCGCTTAGCTCAGATTTACACATATAGCCAGTGGCCACGCAATGGGCAGCATCACAGTAGCATCTGATTTCACCTGAAAACAATGAGAAACTGGTGTCAAACTGCTTTGGAGACCAGATAAAGCATCTGCTTAAGCGACAGCTAAACCCCAAGCTCAAAGGCACTAACTTTTAGAATATTCAGCTGAGTGCTTACAACAGAATTTCAATCCAGTTCAATACAATTTTACAAATGTATTGAGTCCTAATCGCAGAGAATAAAAGTTCAATTTAGGTTTCTGATAAGTTAGTAATTAAAAATACTACTTTTGTTTTTGAAAGACAATAATCACAATAACTTCTACCATAAGCCAAATTACCTTATTTATTTATTTTAATCCTACATAACCATACAACATGAAAATGCTGGGCTTTTTTATTTTGTCAGTATAAATATTTGATCGGAACTACTGAATTGTTTACTACCTCGAAGAGCTGTGCCAAGATTTAAGAGCTTTAGCTAACACCTTATAAAGTTATTAACTAGAAACACAACAATCTAGAAATTGCTCCAGTCAGGAGGTTTTAAAACTATGAAACTGGGCAGCTATTTGCAACCTCTCTAGAAAAGGCAAACTTTGCCTATAAAGATCTTTTCATGCAGAGGAGCTTTTAGTCAGTATATTGTAAAACAGGAACTAGGCAGTTTACAATTAGTGGTTTGCTTGCCAAAGTCAATTTCTTTCAGCCCAAATGGAAAGTCATAAAAGTTGGGGTGGAGGGGAGGGTGTAAAACTGCAAGGCTAACTTCTCCTCCCCCTAACTCCCCAGTTTTACATGTAATTCAACATGGGATCTAAAAGGGGAAACACTGAAACTGAAAATCCTCTGCTGGCTGAATGAAAAATCCTTAAGGAAACCTCAAATTTTTCTACAGGAAGTGATTAAAAGTTTCCTTTATAAAACTTATTTTGTGAGTTGCAAGTCAGTTAACATTTTGCCTCAAATGCAAGATCTGAGGCTTTTAACATCAATTTCTAGTGGAAATAACCCGAGTCTCAAAGTTATCACTAGTATGCTATCTGACCCAGTGGACTCTGGTCATTGTCACATGCCACAGCGAAAGCTACTATAAATTAAACTAATGCACACACCTCTTCCCAGCTTCCCAAGCTGAAGTAAGACCTCTGCTCTGAAATTGAACACCTTCCCACCCTCACCTTTCTTCCTCCTCCTCTTTGTGAATGCCTTGAGTAAGGTGTCTCATTTAATTATCTGTCCAAATTCCAGGCCACTGTATGGTATGCTCAGTTTTCACCAGAGACTATTAATGCTTCAGTTCTAAAAAGACCAACCAACTAAACACAGATCTTGGGCAACCAGAGTTTAACCATCCAAAGCTGGAGGTCTTGCTCCTAATCCTAAATCTGTGCTCTCTTGTCCTAGGTCTGGGCCCAGGTCCCTTCTCCCGTAAGACCTTCAAGTTAGGACCTTGCTTTGCAGAGGCTCTTTTCGTCTCTTTCCAGCTTATTTGATTTTTTCACTTTATAAAGCGCACCAGTCTCCTGTGGTGATGACTACCTGTCCCTACTCTGACAAATTCCATCTATAGGCTTAAAAGTAGAAATAAAACAGATTAAAAGTCAACTTTGATCCTATGCACCTCAGACCTAGTGCAGAAAAAGCAAACCTGAATACAAGTGAAATGCTGCTTAAATGTTTATGAGAGCCTATTTAACATACTATAGTTTCAATGACCTAAAATAGTCTAATAAAATTTTGACAGGTAACTAGGAAAGTTCTAACAACTTTTTTTTGTTTTAAATTGGAGCCACATTTGAGCAAGTTGAATGAACTTTTGTATTACTGTATTAAAACTATATTTCTGTCGTTTCATAAAGTTTCTTCCTGTGGCATGCAAAAGGCCAGAAAGGGGACTGGTATTTTGAAACAGTGAACAATGCTCTTCTGTTTTCCCCCCTTTCTTGTTACTGTATGTAGTGATTAAACAAAAATGTCTGCTTTAGTCAAGATGGCTACAGGAGAGACTGCTGGCTTCTTTTAAAGCTTTTGAAGTCCGCAGCAGTCAGAAATCTCTGATCCCCTAATTATATCATTATCAGGCACATAGTTTCGGTATCTGTGACTTCATGTCAGCCTCAGTCCCTCCCTGTTCTGCTGGCCTTTGATAGGGCCAGGAGGCTCCCCTCTGCAGGCTCTGAGGGCTGTTATTTAGGGTTAATTACACCCTTCCTTCCAAAATAAATAAATACTGTAGCACATCATCCTTGCTGGGCTAGCTTATCCTTTAACCTCATGCCTGCTACATGGCAATTAGAGAAAAGTGGGGGGTGCGAAAGCTAAATAAACGCTTCCTATTTAAAAAATTTATCTGTTAACAGAACAGAAGGTAGAGTTCGTGGCAGGGTAGGTGGGGGAACCTTGAAAACCAGAGGGAGTTTGGGTTATTTCTACCTAAAAGGTGAAAGCCTGCAGGGAAAAAAAAAGAAACTGACTACTGTCTTTTTTTTTTTTTGGAGTGTTTGTAAAATATGAGGTGTGTGGGAAATGGGACCGCTGACAGAGCCGACTCCTCCCAGCCACTGAGAAGCCACACAGCACCTACTCATGCACATGAACACACACCCCGGACACCTACACTCTCAGGGAGGCACACACACGCGCTGACTCATAAAGACACTCACTCAAACACACACAAAGAAACACTCACGGACAGCGGCATATTCAAATACAGACGCACACTCTATATACAGAGACATGGCGACTATGACACTCAACAGAGGCACGGGCAGAGTCACATTCAAACACAGAGACACTCAAATACAGAAATACACTCACAACAGAGACACACTCAGATATACCGACACACACGCGCTCAGTCAGGCGCAGTGTAACTGGGGAGCAGGGGTCTGCGGTCGCTCCGGGGTGGGGAGGGAGGCAGTGTCCGAGCCCAAGCCCACACGACCGCTCCGCTCTCCGAAGCCAACGTTCAGACGTTCACTACAGACAGACTTACACAAACGTTTTGACAACCACTTGCCCTGAAGTCTGACTCCATCTGAACGCGCCGGCCCCGGGACACACGAGGGGGCAGCCGCGAAGCCACCGCCGCGACTTCTAAGAACAGGCAACTTGTCGCGACCTGCGGGCTCCGGCGCGGGAGGAAGCCTCGCCCGCCGCTAACAAAGCCTTGGCAACCGGCTTCAAAGCCCGAGACGGCGGCCGCCTCCGGACCCCGCGCGCCCCTCCCCGGGGAGCCCGCGCCCCAGCTAGCCGGCGGGCACCCACCTTTGGTGAGCAGCACGGCCATGGCGCAGAGTTCGAGCTGCAGCCAGATGAAGATGTAGCTGGAATGGCGATCCATTGACGCCCCCCACGGCTGCAGCAACCCCGCCGGTCCCGGAGCCGCGGCGCAGCTGCAGCCTACGACTCCCGGAGCGCGCCGTGCATCGGTGCTGCCCGGGGCGGCGGGCGCCGTCAGCGACGGGGCGACTGGCCCGGCCGCGGCCGGAGCATGGAGCGCGGCTGAAGGGCGTGCCGAGGAGCCTAGGGGACCTTTGTGGGCCGACGCTGCGTGCACCGGCTCCTTCGCTGCGCTCGGCGCCGCAGTCCCGGGTTGTGCTCTACGGCTTCACACCTCTCGGACACTCCGCGAAGGCAGAGGCTCCGCGAGCGCGTGCAGATACTGCCAGCCGCGAGCTCCCGCCAGCGCCCAGCCCGGCTCCGCGCCGTAAATAGCGCTCGGCGCGGGGAGCGGGCCCGGCACCACCCTGCCCCGGCACCGCCCCCAGCTGCGCCAGCGCCGTCCGATTGGCCGTCAGGCCCCAGTCAATCGACCCACAGCCAGGGGGCGGGCCCAGAAGCGGGCGGGGAGGGACCTGCCCGCGGCTCCTCGCGGCGCCGGCGTCTGGGGCCTGGGGCCCTGCGGCTTCTGTCTCCGGCGCTCCCCCTCGCGGAGGCTTGCGCGTCCATGACCTTCGGGAGGAGCAAGTCGAGCCCGGCCGCTGGGTCTATCTTTGGCACCCTTCCGTGACTCTCATAACTCAGCCTTGGGCCAGCGTCCCCTAGTCGGTGGCTTCTTTTTTGTTCCACCCGAAACACGCGAGGCACCCGTGTGTCCGCCGTCGGAAGCCCTACTCCGCCACGCCGCGCGCTCTGGGAGCCCCAGGGACAAGTGGCGGTCACCCGGCGTGCGCCGTCGGCCAAGGCGCCCCTGCCGAGCCCCGCTGGCTCGCGTGTGGCCGAGGGGGGGTCCAGTCCGGAGCCAGGAAAGGGGGCGGAGGGGCACAGGTCTGCTTTCAGCCTTCCCCCTCTCCTCGGCGTATCCGCCTCAAGCCGCCCGCCCTGTGATCAATAAAGCCCAGACAGACAGACTGTTGATCAGTAGGAGCCGCTAAGTTCTCCTGGGTAGACAGGGGACGAGTAGCCGGCTAGAGACACTTAACGAAAATTAGCAAATCCAAAAAGCACCCGGCGCCAGCAAGACGACACAGGCCGAGACTGACACTCAATTAACCGCCTCCCAAACAATCGCAGGCAAACACACCGGCTGACCCTGATCAATATCAGCCCCGCAGCGAGCTCCTTTCTGGGACGCTAATTCATTTATTAGGACTTGTGGGGCTGCTGGCCCCAACGTACCCAAACGCAGTCCTGGAGGTTTGGCTGTGGTTTTTAATTTGGGTGGGGTGGGGTGAGGAAATTCAGCTTAAAACTCTAATCTGAAGAAATGCTCTTTTATCTCCTACTTCACCAAACCGGAGATTAACAAAAGTCAACCGTTTGCAAAATTTCCTTTTAGGATCAGGCAACATTTCCCTACCTGATAAAATGTCAAGGAGGGTGGAAAACAAGAAAGAAAAGCGTATTTAATGCTAAGGTGGAAGATGTAAAGTCAAACTCTTAGGACTAGAGTGCAGAAGTGAGCTTTAAAACTAAGGGGAGAAAAAAAATTGTATATATATATAGATATAGATAGATATATCTATATATCTATATCTATATAGATCTCTCTCTCTCTCTCTCTCTCTCTCTCTCTCTCTCTCTCTCTCGGACTGAAAATCAAGGCGAACCTTGTAAATTAAAGTTGAGCTGCAGGATGTACTTAATGAAATTGCCTTTGAAAAATTATGTTTATATGCAGAAAAAATAAAATAATTTCATAAACTGATACTCTGACCATTACTGCGTTAGATTAAAATTGCATACAAAAGGAGGGGAAGGCAAGCCCATTAGAAATTTTAAGGGAAAATTAAGCTGGTTAGGGCACCAGGTAAACAGCAGGTGGGTCTCGAGTGGTGGGCTGACATCATTCCTTGAGGAGTCTGATTAGAATTTCCAAACAGCTAATTTTTTTGATAAGTGAACAATTAATTCTAAAGGGTTCACCCACACAATTCTTTTCATGAAATGACACACTCTTTTAACTCCAGAGAGGCAATCATTAACTAAAGGAAATTTTGAGAGTATATTCATCCAGCTACTTTGGAGCACCCACTACAAGCCAGGCTCACAGTGCCTGGGGTTATAAAGATGTCAAAACCTAAATAGGAAATCACAAGCAATGGAGTCTGATGATGATAGAGATTTATGTGCACAATGTTATGATGCCTCAAAAGAAGAGATAACTAGCTCAGGAAGGTAAAGAAGTCGGGAAGGTCTGCTAGATGCAGTGACATTTGGGCATGACTCCTAAAGAATAAAGAGAATTAGGAGTGACCAGTTAGCTCAGTTGGTTAGAGCGTGGTGCTGATAACACCAAGGTTGCCCGGTTTGATCCCCACATGGGCCACTGTGGGCTGTGCCCTCCTTCAAAGAGTCAACTATGCCATTGTAGCATGAAAGCAATGTGTAACCAATGACCATGGCTGTCCCCCAATAAATTTTTTTTTAATTAAAAAAAATAAAGAGAACTAGAAGGGGAATTAGAAGAGGTAGAAGGAACTACAAGCAATTCTTTGTTGCTGGAGCATAAAATGTGAAGCAGGTAGGGCAGAGATGCATCGGAAAATAATTATAGTTACTTGTGATGCAAATAAATCCTTGTTTAATGGAAAGGGTCCAGGGAGATGTGCTGATGTAAGTTGTATTGTAGTAAACACTTTCTGAGTGCTTCCTTCCCAGCCTCTTTTTCTGGAGTGGGCACTGGCAGTGGGGACTAGGGGACTACACTGCTCTGGCCATAGCTAGTCACATGACCCCAGTTGGGCCAATTAGCTTCTCTCTTCCTGGTCTTTAGACAGAAATGCTGGTCAGTCTCTAGAGGTCACTTCATAGGAGACATAAATTCAGAGTTCACCTTTCTGCAAAGAAAGAAAATTGACAAAGATGTGCAAAGTGGGAAAGATGTAAGTCCAGATGGATTTCCAGTCACTTGTCTTCATGACCTGTCCTTAGGTTCCGTATTAAGATTGACTCAGGCACCTTAAAAGTTCTTCTTTTTACTTAAGGTTCTATTACTTCCAACCCAAAAGGTCCAAGTATAATTTTATTTAATTAATATTGACTTTTATCATTCTAGGATGTATGCTTTTTGTTCCAAACACAATTCAGAATAAGAACTTGTGATTCTTCAGACAATGATTTCAACTGTTTTGTTTTCATTATTAGTTTAATGGACAGACTTTTAAAATGACTAGAAGTTAGTTTTAAGAGAAATAAGTCTGCACTTTATCTAATGGTTTGGAGCAGACATGGACTTTTCAACTAAGTGAAGGAGAATGTTTGAATCAATGTAGAGAATCAAAATTGGTTTAGGGATAATATGTCAATTAAGAGGCCATATCAATAGTTGAGAAAATAGGCAACAATTTTAATTCAATTTAAGACTCAAGGGAAATTGCTTTTCTGCAGAATTTTACCTGCATTTTATACATAATTCAATTATTGCTTTCCTATATGTAGATTAATAAGTGGAGGGGAAAGTAATAAAATCTAATGTCTTTTGGAAATTAAAATCAAGAAATGAACTCAATGACCAAAATTCTTTCTAGTCTTATGAGGGAATTCTGAAAATACAAGCTGAGAACCAACTATCTAAACCCAAGAGCAGAAAGTTGACTCTAGACCTAACAAAATGAAGTAATTAAACATTATAATAGTTTTATTTCATTAATTTCAAACAGTGTTCTGGATAGTTATCCATGGTTATATATATTCTATATAATTACAACATGCCGGCATGATACATTTTTATGGTTGTCCTACACGACAGAATAACTTTTTAAATTTCATTTTTTCTTATAAATAGCAAAAAAAATAATAAAACACCCAACACAAAACAAAAAAACCCAAGGGTTTTTATGTCTCAACCCATTTTGTTAACAAAGCTGTAAATACTCTACCAATCTCTGCTTACCCAAATAATGCCACTTTTCCCCAAAGTTATATGTGATCCCTATTTTTAGCTATGCCTCTCTCTTCACAATGCAGATGAAAAATAACTCTTGGTATATTTTGTTCAGAGAGAAACAGTGGTGTTCAAGTTCTTGGCTGGCATACAAACAACTATTGCAGCCTAGCGATAGAATCTAACATTTCTACCTGTTATACAAATCTACCAACTAACAATCCACAGAGGTTAGGTAACACTTTGAATTCCCAGTAGCAGCTTTTTTACAAAGTCATTTGTTCTTAGTAGAAGTTAGGAGTTCAGATCTAAAATTTACTTTCATTGAAATAAGGTCAAAGGTGAGAGATTAGCCCAGCCAATGGATTGGCTGTCTAGTGAAGTTGTGTTATTTTTCCCCCCTCCAAAATGGAAAGGGAGATAAAGGACTAGCTGCAGAGTCTGGAGGTAGTGTGATAGGACCTAGAAAGAAAGAAGACTGAAGCTCACATTCCAAAATGCCCATCCCCCCTCAGACTAGCAAAAATGCTATGGGGTCTTACAAATAAACCATTGATTATCTGTTGGGTTGATGTTTTCTAAAGAATTTTTAAAGCAACTAAGTTTAGAATACAGTAAGAAACATTCCTGGTTAAAGGCCATTACTTTATCTACTTAACAGTGATATTATTTATAATCAAATAATATCAAATATATTCTGTATGATCTTTGACCATAAGCCTTAGCCTCTGTTCTCCTCAGTTATGTTAACGTAACCTCCAATTAAGCCACTAGAACTTGTATGAATTATTCAATAGCCTGCTAGTTTTGCCTACCTGGTGTCAAATAGCCAGTTGAATTTCTTTTGTCCTTGTAATTAAGATAGCAAATTAAGAACCGGCCAAGGGCTCAGTTGGTTGAGTTGGTTTAAGAGCGCAAGCTCTGAGCAACAGGGCAGCCGGTTTGATTCCCACATGGGCCAGTGACGCTGTGTGTGAGCTGAGCTGCCCCTGAGCTGCCAACAGGTGGCAGGATGGCTCAGCTGGTATAACAACAAGATTGCCTGTTCAATGTTGGGCTACGCCCACCCACAACTAAGACTGAACTCGGCACCTTGAGCTGAGCTGCTGCCCGGATGGCTTGGTAGATAGAACGTGCACTCTTAACAACAAGGCTGCTGGTTCAACTCCCGCATGGGATGGTGGCTATGCCCACCCGCAACTAAGATTGAACACAGCACCTTGAGCTTAGAGGCCACAAGCTGCCTATGGGCAGCCAGATGGCGACTGGTGCCCTCCACAACGAAGATTGAAGAACAACAACTTGGCGGGTCCCCTTCCCCAATTCCCCAACACTGCTCCCCTCCCCCAATTTCTCAATAAAATC